AAGAATTATTCTGCGAGGTATTCCTCAGGGATCGGATTTCGGTCCGATACTATACTTGTTCTACGTCGTAGATTTCCCGAAAATCCACTGCAATAATAATGCAATACTTGCATGCTATGCTGACGACACTGCTGTCGCGGTGAAGTCAGCGAATCTTAATCATGCAATCAAAACAAAATTAATTAATAAATAAATAAAAATAAAAATACAGGAAAACGTCCCTTACATTGAAAACTGGTGCAAACGCTGGAAAGTCCGGATTAATGCACAAAAATCCCAACTCCTCATTGTCAGAAAAAGAAAGAGGAATGCCGCCCTTAAAAAGGAGCTGTTACTGTTTAGCGAACCAGTGTCAATTATCAATAAAGCGAAATATCTTGGCATAACTATCAATAATCGACTTACCTGTGTAGGGTTTATATTTATTCTAACTAACATTTATTTTAAATTTAAGCTATCTTTCCTGTCAAGCCTTACTTTCCCCTGGAATTGCCAATGCCAGAGTATGTAAATTTTAGTAGAACGCGCAAAGTATTCAAATTTTCAGCGGAAGTATTTTGAGTTAAATAGAAGGGAAACGAGTTTGTATGTGTGCTTTCTTGATTCACGAGCGTGAAGGTTGCTAGGTAGAAATTTAAGAACCGCGGTTTTCGGCCTGTGTGCTTGCTTCGGCAGTTAGTTGAATCTTTCAACTTTTTATTCAGAAAGTTTGCTGAAATCTCAGCTGTATCTTAGAACGCGGTTAAGTTAGTTACGTTTAGAGAGCCTTGTAGGTAGTGATTTGTTATTATTCTTTTTTAGTTGTACTTTCTTACTTTTATTTAACCGCCGGTCGGCGTAGTTTGTGAGCGTCAAGTGAACGCATCTGTAACTTCTAAAGTTGAATAAAAAGGGAGTTAAACCCTTCTTAAGGAGTTTGTGTACTTTCCAGTTCATAGCAGTCACTACTTACTGTTGCGGGCAAGTTGGGGCCAAGCGCGCAACACCACATTGGCGCCCGAACACTTTTCGAACTGAAATGGCCGAAAACTTGGATGGAAGCTCCTGGACAAGTCCAACAACAAGAAATGGCGAAGCCAATTGGAAGGATTTGGATACCTGGTCCAGACGATGAGAGCATCAATCAAGCCAAACGTCAATTTCGACGGAAAAAATTCGGTGGCGATATTCTTTAGAAGGTCCTAGAAAATCATTTCCAGCTCTACCCTGTGCCTGAAAGACAAAAAGTTGCCATTGCCACATCTGCCACTAAGAGGACAGGGCCGCTCTATGGTGGAAGAATATAGGCAAATTTTTATTAGGGGAATTCGGAGGCCACAGACATATACCTTTGAAAATTTCAAAAAATCATTATTAAAGGCCTTCCCCATAGTGAAAGACCGAGCAAAGCTAGAAGCCGAACTATATAGTTTTTATCAACGAAATATAGAAGAGTTGACGGACTTTATTCTGCGAAAAATTAACCTGACGGATATGCTGTATGGGAAGAAACCCGACGCGGAGATTATTGAAATAATCTTACCAAAAGATTGCTACCTGCTGTTCAAGATTACTTCGAAATTAAATACCCAAGCACATTGCAGGAACTCTTCGCGTTGGCGGTCAAGTTCCAAAATCGCAGAATAGCGGAAAAAACTAGAGGGGGCATCGTATTCTCAAGGTCTCCGAAGGCAATTTGTGTTTAAGGTCTGTTCTCAAATGAACAGACCTTAGAAACACAAATCGCTCTTATGGGGAAAAGAGCTATCAAGCTAACTCATCGAAGCTCGAAGGTCAAGGCCCAAAAGGAAATTTGAAAACAACCGTCAGCGTACCCAGAAGGCAGAAGTTGAAAGGAAAGCTTTAAACGAGTAGAGGGGCCTGTAAAAGCGAGAGTCCAGACCCCGGAAGTCCATTGGAATTGTCCCAGAAATGGGTCCATTGGAGGCACTGACATAAAAAAAATATTACTCGTATCGAAGAAGAAATATAGAGTGATACAAGATTAAAAGTCAAGGAGATAACAGCAGGAACGGATCAGTTTAAAACAACTGTTTTGATCATTCTATATGAATACCTACACACGAACAAAGTCTCCGCAAAAAGGGCATACGACTTCATGCAGCAATTCAAAAAACAGCAGAGCGGGCTTAAAGATCCTAACTCACCCTTACAGCCCAGACTTAGCTCTAGTTGAGTATTATCTGTTATTTAAATTGAAATCTGAACTTTGTGGGAAAAGATTTAATTGCAATGATGGTATGAAAAGAGCTACTATGGGACATTTTGAGGACAAATCTTCAGACTTCTTTTTCAACGGCATACAGTGACTTGTTAAACGGTATGAAAATTGCATCGATGTACAAGAGATCATTAAAAAATAAAAATAAACCATAGCTATCAACCTTGAAGTAGAAAAAACCAGGAGGCTAACCCGCCAACAGCCGAAGGTTTCCGGGAGGTTTTCGATCTGCATTGTGGTACTCAAAATTTATTTAAATTAACATTGTAATTCAGTTTATTCAACTTTTCATATTATGATTCTGATGTAAAAGAGATTAATTACATGTTCTAAATTTTACGTTTTTTTTTTGGCTAGTTTTATTTTGTAATTTTCTAACACTTTTGAGAAAAATCTGAGCAGGGAAGGAAAGCTTCAGTTTTCCAAAGTACTTTCAAACGTACCACCCAGCGGGGATAGTGGTTAATGAGTCTGACTGCCCTGCCGTAGGGCCCGGGTTCAAATCCCGGAAAGCATGGATGTTTGTCAATGTTTAGGGTCTGTACGGTATGGGAGCACTCAAAATACGAGGTAAACCGAAAGTCCTCTCGAGAGGACGTTGGGAGAGGAAGAGGAGTGGGAGATCCTCGGACCCATTCAGCCGAGGTGCTGTTCCTCGAATTTGGGGGCGGAACTGAGCAAAGTCCTACTGTCACCTGTACAGTGCCCAAGGCTCTTGCCAACAACAGGCGCAATATTGCCTCCTTGCCACGATGAATTTCGTGAGCTTGTTCTGATATCAGACAAGCAAGATTAGGCACAACTACAACAATAACTTTTAAACACGGTAAAATAAAATTAATAATTAATGTGCATACTGTCTAGTGGTAAAAATAGTAATGCACCACATACTATAAGGTACTTACTTATAAAATACCCTCCTTACTGCGTGTCTTCGTGATGTAATTGGAAGCACATCCCACAAGCAAGCAGGAGGTCCGGAACTCGGTTCCCGACAAGAGCACTGCACATGTTTGACGTGTCATACATCTAAAAATTTTAAAAAATCATTCTACATTGCCACAAACTAAAATATGATTGGATGATAGCTTGTTACCACTATGATCTGGCACCTGGGTCCAAAGCCCCCTGTTTCCTTTGTAGTATAACTGGAAGCCAGTCCTGCTAGCTATCGAAAGGTTCACAGTTCAGTCCCGGTGAAAGCACTGAGCATTTTTCATGTTTCCTGTTTCGAATTGAACCTAATGACTCTATATTTTTATCAATACAAAATTAAATTCAAATATTTGCTGATTAAACATTTGTTTAAATCTTCGTTTAAGTTCTATAAATGCCTACAATAAATTAAGACAATTCAGATTAAAAAAGTTAATAAGAAAATTATGCTGAAGGTCAATAGGATTGGGGGATGAAATTCGCACATTTTAAACTTCATTAATTCAATAATCAAACTTAAACCGCGCAAATTTTATTTATACAATTTAATTTGATTGCTGAAAAGCGCTTTCTTTAGTAAAGACTATAAATTAAAAACCAGGAGACTTGGTTATCTACCGGGAGATGCCAGAAGAAAAACCAGGAGCCTCCACGTAAAATCGAGGGAATTGGCAGCTATGATAAACTGTTAAAATTTTATGTATTTTTTAGAAATATATCAAGCCGGAAACTTTTGGATCTACGTAAGTACATGCAGCAAAAAGCGGAGTAACGTACTTGATTTTTGTCCATATTTCCTGCAAACGGTCAAGGTGAAGAAATTTTTGATTCCTTTTGGGTATGGATCTGATCTGGGTATGGTTTCTGATCAGCATTTTCATCTTTCAAGAAGCTTTCTGAATGACTTCTAGCCTATTCTGCGGTTAAAAAATGAAATCTGTTCGCAAATTCCAAGCTCGATTGAATTCATCAAGATGGCGGATAAAGAGCTTGACGCGTTTTACACGTCTCTTGAAAAACATTATGATACTATCAACACAGCACTTGCATCTAAATGTAATATGAACGGTGAGCTGCGTGAACATGCTAGGACTGCTTTTGGGATATCTTCTCATATAATAAATTAATTGTGACTTCCCATGCTCTTCTTAAAGACCTTAATAATAAAGGTGTTGATGTTATCTTTTCTCATGTACGTGGCCACACTGGCAATCTAGGAAATGAAAGGGCTGATTGGTTGGCAAAACAAGCTACACATCTTCAAGTAATTACTCCAATGATACTTCCTAAGTCATTTTACAAGAACAAAAGTAGAGATGATACAATACTCGAGTGGAATGAACTATACAGGAATTCTACTACTGCCTCTTTGACTAAACTATATTCCTTCCATTCCTCGCAGACTGAATAATAAACACTTTTCTGCAATTTTTGAAGTTACTCAATTTCTAACTGACATGGTAAATTCACTTTCATATCTGAAGAGATTTAGATTATCTAGTACAGACTGTGTTCATGCGTTTCGGGGGAGTGCAAAATGTCGAACATTGTTGTTCTATTGTTAAAGCTCAGGAAGGACGAAAGGACTCATTTCTAGGTTAAACTCTGTGAATATTACATTCCTCCCCCTCTTCATGTATTTGTCCAACATAAAATGGCTTTCTCTTTCTTCTGTAAATTTATCTCTTTCGAATCATATGTGAATTTTTTAAGTTTATTTATTTGTGTTGTGTTGTTGTATTTTTTTTTTTTTTTACTTACCTCTTAAGCCTTGTGTAACTATGTGGTGCACGAGGATTTAAAATTTTCAATAAAAAAAAAAAAAAAAAAAAAAATTCCAAGCTCGAAATTGTAAAAGTTTTATTACTTTTTCAGTTACAAATAATCAAACTCAAAACAATAGTTATATTAATCATAAAATAAATAAATAACAGCCTGCACAGTAAATGTATGTTCCAGTCCAATGCACAGTAACTATGCAGTTATATGTTGAACAAAGCATTGCTATATGCCACCATAATAATATGCTTAAAAACCTTTTTAGTTGCTTACGTATTAATACAAGAAGCAGTTTTATCAAGTGAATGTCAGACGTTTATCTTCTTATGAAAGAAGTGAAACAGCATTTGTTAGATCATTATTGATCACTGCTCGAGATTTTTTCAACTACAGATTTCTAGAATGTAAATTCGAACTATTTAGCATGCGAAAACTTTATTTGGGGAAATATTTTTCACAGCAATACCATCTACAAACTGTACTGGTCCTACTACATATGCATGCTAAAGTTTACGAACTTGAAGAACATGGGAGATAAAACTTCATCTAGCTTAGTTCACCATTTTCTAAATAAAGGGTTATCAATTCCTGGGAGACCTCTTTCCAAATCTTTGTCACCTTTATTTTTCAACAGCCAACTTTCGGTGCCATATCCGGTATTCAAATTTTTCACATCAAGGCTCTGTACTCGACTACAGGATCTTTTGGCCCCAAATGTTCGCAGCTCTTGAGGAAATGCAGAATGATTTTGTTCGACAGGTATATCCAAGTTATTTGACGATTTTCCAGAGAAGTGGTGCTGTGTTAATATAGTATCTTCTGCTCGTGAAGGACGGCTAATATATGTTTCACTATAAGCGTGCAAGAATTCTCGATTACTATCAGGCATACAAATGGTTGGTCGAGGGATTGGAGTAACTTTGTAGTCTTCTAACTTTAAATTTAAATGAGGTATATCGCACAAATCTAAAGAATTCGTCTGTTTACGGCAGAGGAAACGAATGAAAAAGCCAACGATAATTATAAGTAACAATGAAACATTGACAGTTGCCATTATATAAATGGTAATTTCCCTTCCATAAATCGACTCCCAGGGTCTGTCACAAGTTTCAGAAGGCGGAAATAAAGGGATATTTTGATGATCGCTGACATTTAGAAAGTATCTCACTATTTCAAATTTTTCGAGTAAACGAGGGTCAAATTTCATAGTTTGAGCTGCAGAGGCATCAGAAATAATACTAGCATTTTGTATAGGGAATTTCAGTGAAAAATATTTCTCACAATTAAGCTGCATATTTTTATTCAAATCAAGAACAGCATTCAAAACAGTCCTGTTCAAAGAGTCAATAACTTCAGAAAAATCGTTTTCATCTGTGCAATTCTTTCGGAGAATCAAAACAAGATAATTTTCCCTCACAAAAGGTGTTATTTTTGAAGACGAAACGGTCGCATTTGTCTGCAAATCTAATTCTGGAAATTCTGGGGAAGTAAAATTATTTTCTGTTTCATTAGTGGATGCTAAATGAGTTGTAGTGGAAGAAGGGCTTACGTTTGATAATAAAACATTTTGACTGGTCATCAATTCGTCATTAACGTCGCTTGGAAACTCCGCAATATTCGCAGTTTGCTCAGTAATATCATACGGAGTAATTTCCGAGAGTGCTTTACCATCTTTTGTATAATCATCCTTAAAGTATGGCAATGTATCTAACATACTCTTAGTTATATTTTTTCCATTGAGAAGAAAGGATAAATCACCTATTAAATCTTTAAAGAAATTATTAACAATATTTAAGGATTCATTTCTATTTGGTTCTTCTTCGGGCTTTCCTTGATCAGAGGTAACATTTAGTCGTTTTTCCTTTTTCACAGAAGGCAGCAAAGTTGCTTTCACTGTAGTTGGTTCGATCTGCAAACTACGAGCAACGTCCGGGGTTGACAGATAATTTGTTTCCACTACTGTAGGCCTTATCTGCAAAGAAGTAATCCAATCCGTTGAGGATATTTCCTCATTGTCCGTGTATGTGGTCAATACTTCTGAAAATAACGATTTAAATTCGCTACTCGGAAGGTCTCCGTAAGTTGTATTATCTAACAAATATTTCATAAGAATGGAAAGATTTATTGTATTAGTACCCAATGAATTGCTTTCGTGAGACAAAGAATTAGTTTCAAAAGTGTGCACAGCTGAGTTTGGAGTAACTGTGATAAGTTCTTCAAATACCAATTTGCTGTGACTCTCTGTTAGAGCTTCAGTATGTTTGTAGGCTTCGCTCTCAAGAGAAGGGATGACATCAAAATACTCATCCTCCGAAGATCTTAAAACTATCGGACTTGTAGCATCTTCTTCATCAGATGCGGATAATCTTCCTGAAATGAAAAGATAAGAATTGTATAAAAATATTTTGTAAAAACTGGTAAAAATTATCACTATGTTTGCTTTTATTTCTAATATATCTATTCTACCCAACGCTAATTAAAAATTCAGTCACTAATATATTTTTTACGCAATACCTCCTGTGCAATCAAAAGCCAAAATATATGTATTGATTATTTCTAGCAATGCGTCCAATAGTCTTTTATGCTGTTTTGCTCATGCATATTTACATTACTATACATTTGTAGGGATTTTACTTGTAGCTAAATGTAACTTGTGTCAAATCCTCCAATAGACGTGTTTATCGTTATGCCTAGATAAGCAATGGAAACTTACTAGGGATGTAAAAGACCCTTTTATTAAGAACTCAAATAAGCTGAATAGAAGGCGCTCCTGGGGAGCCAGCCAGCAATTATGGCGGGAAATCAGAAAGAAAAATCTTAATTTAAAACTAAATCTGAGTCTTATTTAGCATCAGACTGTGTAGATATTTAAATGCACAAACTGGCTCTAATTCACACAAACTGGCTCTCTTGTAGATTGTGATAGCACAATCTACAAGAATAAAGCAACGCCGTAGACAGGAATGCTATCGTAGAATATCAAGTAATAACGTAGCCTTCAGCAGACGGAACACGCTCTGACTGAAAATACTGTCAAACCCTCACTTAAATATACGCGAGCTAAATTTGCACTCTGGAATGAAAGCGGAAAAACAGAAGTGACAGTAAAGATCCGTAACATAAAATAACTGGTTAATTAACATAATTTACATTATTATACTACATTACTATATATTTGCTCCTTTTTATGTCCTTTTTTATTTCCGCCATGCACATATACAGTATCGTTCAGCGAAACTGCAAGATCAAGAAAGCTATTAGATCGAAAAGAAATTTGGGATTCCGATTTTTAGCCATGCGAAATGTAAATGATTGCAAGCTCAGTTTTGTATCCAAGTAGGATGCGCTCGATACGTCGACGGAAAGCGAACCCGATGGAAATCAAAGTGGGCAGTAACACTCAAGTCTTGGACAATTAGTGTTGCTCTGTGAATGATGAAGAAACATTTTTCGAAGCAAAACGAAACATATGGAACAGCTGATAGCTTTTGAAAGAAGTAGATTTAGAAGTAGACTGTGAAAAAAAAAAAAATTTTTTTTTGGCAATAAATGCAAAATTATGGTACTTTCATCGAATCAAGTTTAGTATGTCACTGTCTATGGGTTTATTCCAAGTACAGTAGCTAACTCAGAGTAAAATGATCACATATAGTTTCAAATAATTTCAGACTTCCGTGAAGGTGGTCAGAGAAATCGACTACTGATCTGAATAACTTATCTTATTAAAAAATCTTGAAGTCTGCTAAAAATACTTAGTAGAAATGCGTTATGTGAAATTATTAACAATAACGTTATTATACAGATAAAACTAGAAATTAATCACGGCTTATTTTATACCTGATTTTCTGAAATAATTAAATAACATTTTCAAATATGGAAAACACATCTTTTGGATAAAGTCCTCCCTCCAAAAAAATTAATCCTTACATTATGTTGTCCAGTAATTTCAGAAACACTCATTATTTATACAACGAAACTAGCCTATTTCATTTTGTCTTTTGAGTAATCATTTATTTTTTAAAACATATTGAACTTTATACAAACTCATCATCTTAATATTTCCTAAAAGAAGACGTAATTATTTTACTTTGTTTAGTAGGAATGAAAGCTAATAAAAGTTGTTCTCTTCATTCAAAAATTTCCGGTTTGAGTAACAAGCTACACTAAGCTTAGACTTATTGGAATATGTAGAGGAATCGCGCAATGAGCAGACACATTTCGTGAACGAAATCTAATAATACATTAAGGAAACTCAGGAGAAAAATCGCGAGAAGAAAGCCGAACAAGTGGAATCATGGAATCAAGAAGAAAAACAGCGCTTTAGCTCTTAAGCTTACAGAGGAGGATCAAAGAAAGGATACATCGACGTTATAAGAAAGGTCTCTTATTATAAGGTCCATGAGGATATGTGTGATGTTTTTACCGCTTGTAGCGTCGGTTTCAGATATCACATTTCAAATGGTCAATTTTTACCACAGGTTTTAAATGAATACGCTTTCAAAAATTCTACTTGAGGAAAATATGAAATAAAATGGAATAACTTGTAAGATCTATCTTTACTTGTCCACATACACTAACTTAGATCCTACAATGAACCTGGCGAATTCTCGCACAGGCGTAAATTAAATACCAGCACAAAAGAAGGGTGCAAATAACCCTTTATTAACTCAAACTAAAATAACAGACAGCAGGGATTTCGTGGGTTATAAAAACACCGTTCACTTGCGACGGTAAAACGTAGACTATAATATAAATCAAATCTGAAAGATAAACGAGTGCATGAACGCACTTCAAAATTACTCCTAAGAGATGGATTCACAGAAATCTAACCGGCGTGATACTAAACAGATATGGCCAAGAGGCTTACTAGAGTGACCGCGAAATAACAACGAAACGTGCGCTAAGCTAGCGAAACACGCTCTGAATAAACTGAGATAATCACACATTTAAATAGCACTTCACTTAACTTTAAATTTACATCCTGGCAAGAGAATGTGAGGGGAAGTTTAAGAAGTTGAGAACAAGAAAACTTAAAATAAATTTGTTATGCAAATTAAGAAAAACCCTACAATCTTAATAAAAAATTTCAGATGATAATTAAAAATGTGTAAGTTAATACAGTATTTAAATAAATAACTTTTTAAAAAAATACCCAGGTTTATTAATAGCAATAAACTATAATTATCAATCATAAATGAAATGTGTTTGAAAATTTTTACACAATAATTTAAAAACAATAGATTGTTGTGAAAAAATATAGATTTCCAAATCCTAGATTTCGAATTTTACTTAAAATGTACACCAATTTAATGTTACTTTTACGGACTCCTGTTGCCTAAAGGATAAAACATTCGCTTCTGGAGTCAAAGATTAGGGATTCATGCTCCACCAGAAGCGCAGACGTAAAGGATATATATATTTTCCAGTAAAGTTTATTGGTAGCTTTAGAGCAGCACAGATGCTTATCCAGTTTGCTGAAGATGAAGATTAAATACCAATTTATCTCAGAACATACTTTATCGCGGAGGTAAAACGCTAAGAAGAAATTTCAACTGTTAATTAATATCGCAAATTCGGGCTTTTCTTTTTCCAGGTAGGAGTTTTTAGCCTAAAGGGCTATTAATTTCGTTTTGGCGTTTTGCGTCGATTCACTTTCTGCGTTGATTCACTTTTCAAATTGTTGCAACCAAATATTACAACCCCGTATTATATTTAAAGAAATTAAATAATGAAAAATCTGCATAAATGTATTTATGTGTTCTCGCATTGTGATAAAACAACGGTACCTAGAGCCTACCTACAGGAATTTAATTTTAAGTAACGTAATCCTCCACCGAATATGGGCATCTGGAAGCCCATATTTGGAATTTGTAACTTGTTTTATTATCTATTTTATATTTTGTCAGACATTACAGAATTTTTGATTAACAAACTCAACGATTTCAAATCGAGCAATGGCAATACTCTGAAAGCTTACAGAATTTTTTTTTCCTCCCAAAACCCCAGGTGCTTTAGCCAAGAAGGGCTATTAGCCTCGAAACGGCATTTTGCGTCGGTTCACTATAAACGGCGTATGACTTTTTAAATTTTTGACACCAAATATTATCGCCCTGCATTATATTTAAAAAAATTAACTAATGAGAAGCCGCATGAATGTATGTATGTTTCTCGCATTGTGAAAAAACGACGGTACCTAGAGACATCAAATTTTGAATAACATAATGCTCCATCCGAACATGGCCACCTGAAAGCCCGAATTTTTAATTTCTAATTTGTTTTATTATCTATTTCATATTTTATAAAACTTTAACGAATTTTTGATTAATAAGCTCAACAATTTCAAAGCGAGCAATTGCAACACTGTACCGAAAAATGCATTTTTATATCTAGTGCGCGAGACAGTCTATCGAAAACTCTACAGATATCCTGTTTTTAAATATTTTGTGATACTGCTGTTGAAATGAATTTTGTTTGGTTTAAGTGCGAAGAACATGATATTTTGTAACTAAAGGAACACACACGGCTTAATTTCTAAAATTAGAAGAGCCGGAGCCCTACCGTAGACCCTCAAGAAAGAGGAACAAGAAGAAATAAATAAATAAAATCATTAACCATTAAAATAATTAATGATTACAGTGATTAATAATTAAAGAAATATATTAAAATTTATTTCATTAGTGATTTTAATTATTAGATTAGATCTATTACATATTAGATTATTAGTCCAAAGAGGCTTTGTCCCTGAGGGACTATTTCTTTCGTTTTGCGATTTTGCGTCGAATCACTCTGAATGTCCGTTTCACTTTTCAAACTGTTGCCACCAAATATTATCGCCCTGTATTATATTTGAAGAAATTAAATAATGAAGAATCTGTATAAATGTATGTATGTTTTTCGCATTGTGATAATACAACGGTACCTAGAGCCATCCAATTTTGAATGACGTAATCCTACTGCGAATATGGGCATCTGAAAGCCCAAATTTGAAATTTGTTTCATTATCGATTTCATATTTTGTAAAACTTTAACGAATATTTGATTAACAAACTCTACGATTTGAAAGTGAGCAATGGCAACGTTGTACAGAAAAAACATTTTTATCTCCAGCGCGCGAGACATGTATCGGATATACTAAAGATATGTTGAATTTAAAATTATTTTGCGATATTGATCTTGAATTGAATTTTATGGTTTAAGTGCAAATAACAGGATATTTAATAAGTAAAGGTAACACACAAAATGTAAAAAAAAAAACGGACATAATTTAAAATCTGAAACCTTTCAGATTTTCTTTTTTGTCTTTTTTTAAAAATTTATCTCGAAATTTAATAAATGTAATAAGTAATTTTTAATATAATTTTATTACTAAA